GTAACCAGGGACAATGTTCACTACTCCAGGAGGAAACCCTGCCTGAGAGGTGAAAAAGGAAAATTTACCTAAGTGGTTTTATTCTTTATTATTATAGCTATTATATATTATTAACAATATATTACCGTTATTATAGCCCACATAAAAATAACCTCAAGTATTGCATTACTGAAGGCCCATTTTTCCTCAGGGTAAGGCTATGGGTTATTGCTCCATTGATGACTATCTCAAATTTCATCATGGTTACTCACAAAGAAAGTGTAAGTGTTTGGTAAATTACTTACATAGAAGGAAAGCAATGTTTTTATTATCCCCATCAGCCAAATTAAGAAGCTAAAGGGATCTCACATTTTTAGTTTTTAGCTGTTGTCAATTGTTCAGGGCATAACAGCTGAGGTGAGAGTCCCTACTGGCATTATTTAATCAGTAAAAGGTTAAATAAGCATGGTCATCCCATTTATGATTGCGCTTCAGGATTGATCTCAACTTCAGTTAAAGAATTCAGGGAGAAAGTGTGGGAACTGAGGAGGGCATATTTTCATGTTAATTGCATCAAAATATTAAAATATTTCATTTTGACATCCTTTTGCCTGTCTTTAATTTGAAATAAAGAATATTTTTAAGATATGAGTTCAGATTTCCTAAAATGAATTTTCTAGTGGTTAATGCTTGTTTTTTAAGTTTTGGTAAGATATGAAGACAAAAAGACAATGAATTGTTTGCAAAAAAAAAAAAGTATATTAACACAATATAGGTAGTTGATAAAAATAACTTTCATGTGCTCTTTTACCATTTTTGAACAAGAAAACAAATGCAGAGAAAACCATAATACAAAAGTGAATATAAACATATCCACTTATCAGTAGAAGTGTTTAGAACTAATGTGGCCTAATAGTACAAACAAGTATATTTGCACAGAGGCCTCCAATCTTCACATATTCTATAGTAGTTTGAACAAATCTGCAGAAACCACCAGCCCATTAGTGGCAGTGACAAACCAACTTAACATTTCAAAATTTGAAAGAATGCTACATTAATTTCAATATGAATTTATGTTCACGAGAGTTGGACAAAAGAAACAAAAAAGTGATCACAAGGTAACTGACATCAAGCCCTTGAATTGGACTGCCTGTCTGCATTTGGGCAGAGACTCCTTTGGGCTAACTGCCAGGAATCCCAGCCATCAGCCATGCTAAAAGCATCCCCACACTGGACAGGAGACTTTTGTAAATAATGTAGTTGGCAGTAGCACCAAATGAAGTAAAGTTCTTGTGCATATTTTGTTTTAGGAACTTACCTCTTTTATTAAGGATGCCACATGGAGTGCACTGAGAGGAGTTTGCTCTGCTGGTTTGAGGACTACTGTGTTTCCACAGCTCAGGGCAGGCCCTATCTTCCAAATAAGCATGACCAACGGGAAATTCCACTAGAAAGCAATATATAACAAGAGATTCTTTGTATTGGTGAAAAGCACATTTGCTAATCTAAGTTCACATGATATACCCTCTGCGAATATTAAAAAGTAATTGTAGTATTTTTGTGTAATCATCTGGTGTATTCTAATTAACTTCATTGCTAAAAGCAACTAGTAAATGCTAATATGCTCTAAATAAACCAAATATGGGAAGGGAGTAGGAGAGGGCTCCAAAATTCAATCAAGAGCTGTCAATTTGTGTTCTTCTACCAGGAAGATAAAAATCACTGCGTGGTTTGGCTTACCATTAACCGTATTATAAGTTATCTGTGCTTAAAAAGCATGAGTATTCCTCCCAACCCACAGGTGATTTATTATTTACCTAATTGTATCATTAGTAGTATTTATTTCTAGGACAAATATCTTCTTAAAGACAAAGATATCCTGGGTCCAGAAATTGAGTGCTTGGGTTCAAACCTCAGCTCAATTGCTACCAGCCATGTAAAGCCACACAAGTTACTTGCTCTGTGTGTACAACTGCATCATCTTTAAGTGATGATAATGGTCCTCCCTACCTCAGAAGGTTGTCCTGAGGATTAATCAAGAAAGTGGGCCAAGAGCTTAACACAGTGACTGGTTCATCACAGGCACACGGTATATATTAGCTGTTCTTAGTATTTCAAGTTACGTAGTTTTCATAGATTTTATTGGGATTTTTGAATTAATGAGGAATTTCATTAAAAATGTTGATACGGATACATTTTTATCTCATTGGAGTGAAAGACAATAGCCACTTATTCATCTAAGAACTTCAAGATACTTCATCATTTTTTTATTTGGCCTTTGGAAGTATTTCAGCTAAAAGACACATCGTGTAGATAAGTCTCTTGTTTGTAAGCTTAAAAGGAGATCTTCACAATTCCACTCTAAAACATAGTACCTTCTTTAAGAAGAACTTGGAGTATCAGAGCCTCTCATCTTAAGACACAATATATTCCATACAGTGCTCTAAATGCCTCTGGTATTGTTTCTTTCATTTTAACTTAAAAATAGTTTTCAGGATTAGAACACTCTGGTTGGTACTATTCTCTGTAATGAGAAGTCT